GACTGCCCAGCCCTCTCTCAGTGGCCTTAGGAAGAAATCCAGCTGCTCGGAATCTTCGAATTTATTTTGTTCATTTGAAGTTGTTTTTCATGACAGAAATATAACTAAATTACAGAACTTTTAGGTTAGAAGGGGGAGGACTATAATTTATCCCCAAATTCTACAATTTTTAAGTTTCCTCCTAGACTCTTCCCGTGTTTGCTTTGTTACTGCTTGATCTGCCAAGAACCAAATGAACGCCAAAGAGCATCTTGTTCCTGGACTATTTTCCCTTGGTCCCAGAGGCCAAAAAACACACTTTTGCCATGTCTGTTTCTGAGAGCTCTGGTCTGGGAATATTTTCTTGGAATGGTGATTGTATTTTTTTTTTTTTTTTTTTTTTTGAGATGCAATTTTCCTCTTGTTGCCCAGGCTGGAGTGCAATGGTGCAATCCTGGGTCACTGCAACCTCCACCTCCTGGGTTTAAGCGATTCTCCTGCCTCAGCCTCCCAAGTAGCTGGGATTACAGGCATGCGCCATCACACTCGGCTCATTTTTTCTTAATAATTTTAGTAGAAACAGGTTTCTCCATTTTAGCCAGCCTGGTTTCAAACTCCTGACCTCAGGTGATCTACCTGCCTTAGCCTCCCAAAGTGCTGGGATTACAGGCATGAGCCACTGTGCCTCGCCTTTTCCTGGATTGTTTTATGTTGAAACATAACAGAAAAGAACCCAGGGACAGGGCTCACAGCCCTTCTACACTGCACACACAACTCACTCTTCACCACTTGCTCCAGTGAGGGACAGAGAAAGCACAGCCAAAAGATATATTCTAGTCCCCTTGCCACCTCAGATTAGCTGCGACCTTAGGCTCATCCCTTCACCTTCTGGACCCTGCTTTCCTCATCTGTAAAGTGGGAACAAGCAGATAGTACAAACTTCTAAGATCTAAGAGGATGGAACAGGGTAATGTACAGATAAACTGAAAATATTTGTGATTAGTAGATGTGCCTCCAGTGGAAGGGCCTATATCCAAGCATGGGTATGTCTGAATCTCACAAATGGGTCCACATCTGATGGTGTCAGGTCTCTGGAGACCACCGCTATTCAGTTCAGCAAATTTGCTGCCCCAGGTCATGTTCAGGTCTCTCGAGCCCTGTCCCTTGTCACTGAGGGGCTTGTATCTGGTGGGAGAGACTCGGGAACAGCAGACTTAAGTCAGGGACTGAGAGATGACCAAGGGGCAGCAGGAGCACAAGATAGGGGCATCTGTCATTTCTCCCTCGCTGGGATCTCAGGCTCACTAAGGCCTGAGATTGGGCAGGGCAGGCAGAGGCCGTGGTCCTCATGCCTACAGAATAGGTGGGCAGAAAAGCCATGTCACCTTTAGGGAGGCTTGCAGCAGGAAGTTTCACAGGTGGGAGAGCCTGGAAGTCACTGTGACCTGCACAAGATCTCCCAGGAAGACAGAAGTGGAGAACCTAGGACTAGGCCTCCGGAAGGTCCGGCCAGCCCCTTTAGAACCTGAATCCAGCTTTTAGAAAAGCAGGAATCAGAGGCCTGGGTTCTTATCCCAGCTCTGCTCTGTGTCCCCAGGGAGTTGCCCTATCTCTGGGCCTCAGTTTTTATACCCATGAGTGCAGGCCATTCCAGATTTGAGCTAGGCACCCAAATTCAGGTAGGTAACCAAAACACCAGAGTCCTGAAAACCTGGGCACTGACTGCTGAGAGCCTGGAGGGTTGTCAGCATCTATTTTCACCCTTCTGCTGGATGGGACTGAAGATGCTGGAGGGAGGAACAGCGTTCCTACTGACATGCCCCTCTGAACTCCTCTGCTCAGTTTGTGAGCTCCTCTTCCTCCTGCCTACCTCATTCCCGGGAACTCCTTCACCTGTCTGGCCTTCCAGACTTGTTCTTCCAGGAAGCACCCCCTCCTACTGGGAGGGGGACCTCCAAGCAAATTAAGGTGAACATGTGTTCCCTGAGAGAAGCAACTCCACCCCACGGCAGCAGTGTGTGTGGTAAGATTGGCGCCCATAAAGTAGAAGGGAAGGTTTTGGGGGAGCCGAGAGGTCACTGTCCCAGAGATTAGTCAGACCATTTCCTGAGTACCTCCTCTGGGCTCTCTAAGCACAGTCTCCACTACAACCCTGTGAAATGGGGGAGAAACACAATGGCACAGCTGGTAAGTGCCTCCCAGGATTCAAGTTCCTTCATTCCTGTGTCCATGCATGTCCCTCGCTTCAAAGGACACCAACTATCCAGGTCAGGACCCAGAACAGAAAAGGGTGAAGATGCAGCAGGGGAGTCAGGTTAGATACAGGCTAGCATCACACCTCAACCCTCGAGGTGGCAGGCAAGGGGCACATCCTGGGGGAGAGGAAGGAGGCATGCCAGGCAGCCCTGCCAAGAGTGTGTGTAATGTAGCCACAGTCCAGCTGTGTGGCCTCTCTGAGCTGTTTTCTCACCTGGGAAACATGGTATCTGCATGGCAATGTGATTGAGAGAAACAAATAACACTGCAGAAAGGGTACAGGGTGGGGCCTAGCACCTCCTAAGGGCTCAGTTGCCGTGGCTGCTGGAGTCTGTCTCCCAGCCGCGTGTCCCTGGAGATGGGAATGGCCACAGTAGACTAGGCAGCTGGTGACCCCTGGTGGCTGCTGTGAGCCAGAACATGAGGGCTGGGGCAGGGTACAAGTCCTAGTGTCAAAGAATGTTGGAACCCAAGACTTCTTAGGCTGTTAGATTGGCCGAGTCCTTGAATAAGAGAATTTTGTTGTTGTTATGGAGTTTCTGTCTTGTCTAGCCTGGAGTGCAATGACACATTCTCAGCTCACTGCAACCTCCTCCTCCCAGGTTTCAGCGATTCTCCTGCCTCAGCCTCCCAATTAGCTGAGATTACAGGCATGCACCACCATGGCCAGCTAATTTTGTATTTTTAGTAGAGACAGGGTTTCACTGTGTTGGTCAGGCTGGTCTCGAACTCCTGACTTCAGGTAATTCACCCTCCTCAGCCTACCAAAGTGCTGCAATTACAGGCAACAGCCACTGCATCCAGCCTGAATAAGAGAATTTAACCACTTAATAAACATTCCCTGAGGCGTTCTCTGTGCCAGGCCTGATCCCAGGGAATCTGTTCCCATCCTGGCCTCTTCCAAGAGTTTCTTGTCTTAAAATGGAGGCAGATACAAAAGGAGCTCAGGGACAGAGGTGGCCTCTATCCAGCCTGGCAGGCGAGGGAAGGGGGATCCTGAAAGAAAAAATTGAATTTGGGGCTGGGAGGGAAGGAGAACATTCTGGGAAGACAGAAAAGCATGTCTGAGATGCACTCACAATAGCAAGGAAATAGGCATGGTGGCAAGCACCTGTAGGCCCAGCTACTCAGGAAGCTAAGGCAGGAGGATCACAAGCACAGGAGTGAGACCAGCCTGGGCAACACAGTGAGACCTCATCTCTAAATGAGTAATGAATGAGTGAATAGCAAGGAAATGAAGATGCAGCTGAGAAGCCAGCAAGGTCACATCCAAAGGGCTCCAAGTTTCATGCTGGGGTTGGGGGTGGTCTCTGAAGGCAGCAGGGGAACTCCAAAGGATTGGACTTGTGATCACAACACCCTACTAGAAAGTCACTCTTGAGCCTAGCATGGTGGTGTGCACCTATAAGCCCAGCCCTTTGGGAGGATCAGGTGGGAGGACTGCTTAAACCCACGGGTTTGGGGCTGCAGGAGTTTGAGGCTGCAGTAAGCTTTTTTTTGGTCTCAAAAGCAACAAAAAGTTGCTCTGGCCATAGTAAAGGAAAGGGTTGGATGGGAAGGCTGCAGGTCTAGAAGGTGGCCCACAGTGGCAGGAGGGATGGAGGGGTGCTAGATCCAGCAGCACAAGGTCCCAGGGATAGGGTGCAAGAGGAACAGGTCACTTGCATGGGAGATGATGGCCAGGAGGCAGCTGGGCCAGTAGTGAGTGGTCTGGGAGTCAGCGGAGTATAGGTGTTGCCATTTAACCAATGCTGTCTCCATAGGCCTGTGGCCAGCCCTAGGTTGGTGAAGAAAGTTGGTTTGCCCTGAGTCCCTGAAGCAGGTGGGCCCAACATGTTGCTTTGGCTTCAGGACCAGGCTGAACCAAGAGTCACATCCATGGCTCTTTGCTGCCTCTGGGCCTTCCTTCCTGCTGTTTCCGTGGTTAGACTTGAGCAGCACGTGTCTCACCAGAGAGAGGCTGGGCTAGCTGCCCCAGCTCTATATGGAAAGAGGAAGGTGGGGGGCCAAGCCTGGATCTTCCAGAGTCCACTAGCCTAAAGGTCTTTGTACCATGAATGCTGCAAAGAGGCAGGCAGACGCAGTTTAGCTATAAAATTTTTTTTCTACTTTGGGAGAAAAAGTGAGGAGATAGAGATAAAAATACAAAGAAAAACTACCGTAATACCCCAACGCATACTTCATTTTTAAGCAAACAGCCTAGGTCCTGCCCGGCCTTCTTCCCCGTTAAATTCCCAAGGCCATCCCCAGTCCCAACCCCAGCCCCACTGGCTCAGGAACCCTGTGTGCCGAGGGAAGCTTTAGGCTTCAGGCTTCAGGCTTCAGGCAAGAGCTCCAGCTCAGGCAGGGAAGTTGTGGCCCTAGTGCCAGAGCACAATCTTCCTGCCCTGGTCCACGCTCACCACGTGGCTCCCGGAGTAGCACCAGGCCACGGCGTTGACAGCAGTGCTGGGGAAAGGGAGGGGCAGGCTTCAGGGGGGCTTCAGGAACTGCACCTGCAACCTGGCTATGCCCCTACTGCTGGACCTGAGCAGTTTGAGGCCCTCTCTTGGGACTTTTTCCTCATCTGTAAAGTGAGCTCACAGGGCTGTGGAGAGGACAGACCCAGTGCATGCGGAAAGTACCTTGTGAACTGCAAAGTCTCTGGTCAGCTGGAAGGTGGAAGGACAAGGGCTGGGGACTCCCGGGTCCCGAGTATGTGAGAACCTGGAATCAGCCTAGCAGGACTGGGGCCAGGCAGGTGGCTGGGTGGAGGCCATGCTCACCAGTGGGGTCCCTGAAGTCTGCTCTCCAGTTTCCCGGTATCCACATCCCAGATGTAAAGGGCCCCATCGCAGGAGCCTGCCAGTGCATAGCTTCTGTCTGGGCTATAGTGGCCACAGCAGAGCAAGAAAAGAAGGTCAGAGGGGAGGACACACACAGGGTCCGGCAGGGCACACTTGGGCATAGGCGTATGCTCTCCCAAACATACCTGAACACGGCTTTGGTCCAGTCAGAACCACACTTGAAGCCATCAGCCCTGAGGACAGACAGGGCTGGGGTCAGAACAGAGGTAACCAGTGGTCTCTGCCCTCTGCAGGGAGCTTGCAGAGCTTCCTCTCTCTCAAAGTATTTGGTACCTCAGTAGGACCTGGTGTAGATGGACCGCCAGGGAGGGGCCCAAGAGGGCCTATTAGAGAAGAGGCTCAGCTGTCCAAGCAAAGGCCACAGAGTCAGCAAGCACAAGGCTGGTACCTGAACACCTGGCGGATGTTGCTGACACGCAGGTCAATGACCTTGAGTGTGTCGTCTCGGGAACAGCTGAGCAGGTGTAGCTGGTCGTGGCTGAGGCTCAAAGAGGTGACCCGGCCCTGCACAGGGATAACCTGAGTGCAGTGTGGTCCCCTGAAGAACAAAGATAGAGACAGAGATGAGGAACAGCCTAGCCAGGCCACTCCTGACAGGAAGGGGCTAGGCGCAGCAGCCTTCCCAGCTAACCATGTCCAGAGAAACCCCAGGGCCTTGGATCACTGGGGCAAAGGCTGCCAGTAACTCATTTCCCTTCTCCCCACTGCAGCCAGCTGCCTCCATCGAGGAACTTAGACAGACTTTGAAAGCTGGAGCCCCTGAAACCCTTGGGTCACTAAAATAAGCGCCATCTCTTCTGAGCAATGAATTCTGTCTTTAAAAAAAATACAAGAGAAAGAAGAGTTGCAAACAATAATAGCTGCAGATCGGTGAGTAAAGGCTTGAGGCAGGCCTAGCATTGGCTCTAGCTTTGCTTTTTTTTTTCCCTGAGACAGAGCCTTGCTCTGTTGCCCAAGCTGAAGTGCAGTGGCACAATCTTGGCTTACTATATTGTAACCTCTGCCTCCTGGGTTCAAGCGATTCTCCTGCCTCAGCCTCACAAGTAGCTGGGATTACAGGCATCTGCCACCATGCCTGGCTACTATTTTTAGTAGAGACAGGGTTTCACCATGTTGGCCAGGCTGCTCTCAAGCTCCTGACCTCAGGTGTTCCACGAGCCTCAGCCTCCCAAAGTGCTGGGATTACAGGCATGAGCCACTGCACCCGGCCTCTAGCTTTGCTTTTACAAACAATTCAAGCCCAAAGTTAGGGTCTTTGGTTTAAAAAACAAGTAAAAGAATTTTTTTCCTCTTGATGTAAAAGTAGTAACTAAATGGAAAAAGGTGCATCTCCATCTTGGTTGCAAGATCCAGGCAGAGTCCAACATTGGACCAAGGGCCATGAAGACAGTGGCAAAGCCTCCTCGGGCAGCTGAGCCCAGCTAAGAGGCACCAGCTGGCAGTGCCAGCCCCACAGCCTTGCCTGCCCATAGTGCCACCAAGATTCCTGCCATGACCAGAGAAGGGAACAAGAACTTGAGAGCCGTGTCCCCAGGCCTCCCCCAGTCCTCCCTCAGCCTGCACCTGTCACCTGCTGTCCCAGAACCGGATCTTCTGGTCATTGTGGCCACTAATGATGATATGGTCCCCACACACCACGTCATTACAGTAGGAAAGGACATTGATGGTCCTGGAGCCTGGAGACCAAGCAACAGACCCCAGGGCCTCAGAGGAAGGTTGTCAGGAGCTAGCCCACAGGACAGATGGAGAAGCTGAGGCCCAGAATACAGTGTCCTCCCAAAACCAGAACCCAGGTCTTCTGCTTCCCAGCCCAGGGCTCACCCACATCTTTTTCCTACCCACAACCTGAGGTCACCAAGAAACCAGGCAGAAAACACCACTGGGAGATAGAGAAGGGCCTTGAGAGGATTTATCCCCAAATGCCTATGAATCTCAGAGCCACTCCCAGAGAGCAGGTGAGGTCCCTTGTGCCCTGGCCTGGGGCTTCTGGCTGATGGGGAGGGGAGGTGGGGCTGGGGCTCACAGTAGGCGCGGCCGAGGTCCCACTCCTTCACTGTCCGGTCACGGCTCCCAGTCACTGCCTGGTGTCTCGTTAGCTTAAATTTGGCAGCTGTCACCTTATCCTTGTGTCCAGACAGTGTTTCCTGTACTCCAGCCCCAGATACATATCAAGAGTGCGGCCAAAACGCCATAACAGGTCCCCTAGTGCTGAGGTATGACCCCTGACCCCCAAGGCAGCCTCCCCAGTCAGGCCTCACCTTGGACTGTGCCTCCCCCACCTTCCAGAGCTGGGCAGCCTGGTTGTAAGTTGCTGCTAAAACCTGGTAGCCCTGGAGAAATGGGAGAGGAAGTGAGAGGTGCTAAGCTGGAGGCGACATCCTTCAGGCCAGAGAATGAGGCTAGGGACTGTCCCATGGCCCAGGTCACCAAGGCAGGCAGAGGAGCCTCTGGCCCAGGGAGGAGCATCTGTGTAAGAGCCCAAGGGCTGATTCTAGAGTATCCATGGTGTGCCCTTAGGGCCCAGAGCCCCGACCTGCCCAGTGTGGAGATCAGAGGGGGTGCAATCCCATGCCACTGAGGCAAAGTTCCTCACCGAGGGGTCAAAGTCCACACTGGTGATGCTGCCACCAGCTCCCTCCAGGGTCTGGTTGGCCTCTAGGCGACCTGGGGGGACCAGAGGAAGAGACAGTTGAAATGAGGTCCTAACCTCACAAAATGGAGGAATTGGGACTGAGAGTGGGAAGATCTCTCCCTGCCCCCTCCCCATCCCAGGTTAGAAGACAGAATCGCTGTGTCTGTCTGGGAGCCTGGACTGGAGACTACACCTCCCCTAACTGCTGGCATTGGGTCCCAGGGGACAGCTAGTCATTTCACAGACCAGGCTAGAGAGGACCAGGGAGAAGGGACTTCTGTAGGTCATGCAGCAAGCCAGGGTCAGGCCAGCCAGAGACTTCCCTTTTCTAGGAGGCCCCCAGGAGCGGGCGCTGACTCCCCAGAACAAAACCCTCTATAGAGCACAGAGCTTGGGACAAGGCAGACAGTCAATACTTGTCTCTTAGCTGAGTTCTGAGAGTTCAAGTGATGCTAGAAGAGGGTCACCTGGGGGACTCAGGGACCAGCTCCTCAAGGGCCTGTCCCTGTAGGACCTCATGTTAGGGGACCCCCACCAACCCCCAGCAGGGACTATCTGAACTCAGCCCTCCCTATTCTGCAAATCTGGACCCTAGGAGCTGGGAGGCTCCAGTCATCTTCAGAGCACCGAATCCAGAGTCTCACTCTTGTCAAGGCATTGTCTAGTCACTGCCCGCAGAATGTTCTAGATGGGGAAACAGAGATCCAGGAACTCTGCCCACCAAGGAGTAAGCTGAGGAGGGGGTCTGGAGAGAAGCACAGGGTTGGCCTGCAGGGGAGGGCTCCTTACTTCCAACAACATTCCAGAGGTGGATCAGGCGGTCAGCCCCTCCAGTGGCCAGGAGGTTGCTGTTGGGGCCAAAACGAACAGCATTGACCTCAGAGAGGTGAGCGTCCTGTGGGGAAAAGGGAGATTGGTGCCCTGGCCCTCCCTGCACATGCCTCTGTGAGTGCTCACAGGCCCTCTCTCATGGGTGTCCATGTAGACACAGCCCGCTGCAGATGGGATACTACATCCCCGGTCTCTATGTCCACACTTTTGAATTTCAAACCTAGTCCCACCAGGCGTTCTCACCTCTGCCTGGATCCCTGCAGCAGCCTCTGTGCTATGCTACCCTACTCCCCTATCTGACCTCCTGGCCTCCCAGCATTCTCTCTCTCCCTCCCAAGCTCACATCATAACATGCTTGAGTGGCTTCCACCACAGGCTGTGGGAGGCAGCTTCCTGCTCCTTCTGCGGAGCCCAGCCTTGCTTCCCTGGCCTCCTGGGACCACCTCCCATGCCAGGACCGTCCCCATAGCTGTACTCCATCACCATCGCCCCACCCATGTGGTCCAGCTCCTCCCTTACCAGCACATCCTGAGCCTGGGCAGGAAGTCGGGCAGCCACACATATAGGGATGCTCTGGTATCGTTGCTCAGGGGCTCCCCCAATTGAGTGACCTCTCCTCTTCTTAAAACTGGGAGTAAGGTGGGTTGGGGTCAGGAGGGCATTTAGCAAGGCCTTGTCAGGTGGGAATCTCTAGCGCCCCTGAAGCATCAAACATGGGAAGCGTACAGGGCAGGAGACAGAACACAGCCCCAAGGAGCAGCCAGTGCATTCCCAAACCCAGCCTCAACCCCAGGGACTGGCATGGAAAGGGGTGGGGAGCATATAGAGGCAGGAACAGGGTAGGGTTGGTAGGTGCAGAAAAACCTCAGGGCTAAGGTTTCAATCCCAGTCTTGCCACTGCTTGGCTCTGTGACTCTGAATGAGTCCCTGACATTTCTGAGCATGTTTCCCAATTGAGTGGGAGTTCCTGTTCTGCCTCAGGCTGGAGCTCTTGGTCCCCTGTGAGGACCCTGAATGAAGACAGAACCTGGTGAGGACAGAACCTGAAAGACAGCTGAGCAGGGGCTTGGGGCTGAGGTCAGTCACCTGGCTCCTGGCTTCAGGACCCAACAGACTCACAGGCAAACAGCTGTGCACCACAGGGACAGACAGGCTGAGGCACAGACACAGACCAAGCCTGGGCTGGGGAGCCCAACACACACACATGGGTGCACACACAGGCACACACACACTTACTCCAGAAGCCCCTTCACCACATCCACACAGCGGGACAGCGTCAGAGAGGTGGCTGAGGCAGACCTGGGACAAAACCGAGAGAGACGTGCTAAGGGACTGGCTGGTGTGTGTACAAATGGCTGTCTGTCATCTTCAAACTGCCAGAGACCTGGAGGCTCGTAACTTCTCAAGTCTGTGACAAGAACTTGACTTCTCCAAGACCAGGAGAGTAGAGTGACCCAGACCAGTCCCAGGAAGGTCACAGCAACGATGGATTTGGTAATGAAAATTTCCCAAGGTCTCCATCATAAGGGGAAGAACTGCCTCACCCTACAAGTATCCACCAACAAAAGTCCCTGGGTAGCTGAGCTGGGGCCTACAGGGAGGAGAGGTGCTGGATTCCCCCAGGCTGGAGATAGGAGTCGTGGAAGCCTAAGCTTGCTGTGTGACCTCCGCAATGCCCAGGAGAGAGTGTGTCCTGCAAATAACTTGGCCCAGAATGGCTGCCAAGGACTTTGGGAACTGGCATCTCATGTCCCTCCCCATAGTTTCTTCACCACCCCAAGGCCTGGATACCAAGGACCTGCAAGGAAAGACTGAGAAGAGGCATTAGGCTGGGGAATGGGGCCCAGAGAGGGCAGCCTCAATGACAGGCAAATCAAGAAAGATGGGGGAGACTCTGTAGAGGGGCACCCAAGGACTGATGCCCAATCCAGTCCCACCAGTGTGAGCACACATCTACACATGCTTATATGGTCACACACACATGGGCTCAGTCAAGCTTGTACACACCTGTGCCTCATGTCCCTGCAGATGCACATGCTTGCACACCTATGGCTGCACACACACACCTGGCATGGCTGGGCTCTGGGCTTTGCCCACAGGTTCCCTCCTGGTGATAGCTATTCACAAGCCTGAAACCCCACTCCCAGAGCTCTGATTCCAGGAAGGAGGAAAAGGGTTGAGGGTAGGGATTGGGGTGAGATAGAACTGACCCCAAGTGGCTCTAGACAATGGAGGGCAGACTAGTCCTGGAAGGTCTGAGCTTTCCGACCTCTCCTCGAACCCCCTCCCAACCCAAGAGCTGACTCCAAGGTCCAACAGAAAAACCCTGGCAGCCTCTGGGCTGGGGCTCAGCTTAGAGCTCTGGGACCGTCACCTGGGTCCTCACCTGAAGGGCCTCTTCCACTTCTCACAAGCCTTACTCTCCAGGGGCTCTGGCTCAGGGGCCAGGGCCAGGGCCAGGGCCAGAGTCTCAGTTCTCTCCCTTATCACATCGCCTAGGGTGTCCGGGCTCCTGGGAGAGGTAATGAAGCTCAGAAAGGCCAAGGGACCAAGCCAACCGCTCCTTTCCCCAGCACAGGACACGGTGAAGACTGGAATTCCCAGTGAAGAGAGTTCTGTGTGGGCACAAGTGCAGCGGGCACGCATGCAGGCTCCTAAGACCACACAGTTCTCTGCAGGTGTCCCGTGGGCCCCGACCACTTGAGGGTCGTGGGACTGGGCTGTGCACAATATACAAGTACAGTCGACGGCCTGGGTCGCCGCTGGCAGGCGGGGATGGGAGGCAGAACCCAAGGGTCGAACTGGCCCATTCCCACTCTTACTCGCTGATGCTCACGGTCCGCTTGGCAGCCTTCTTCAGCTCCTGGGACACCCGCGCCTGCTTGGCCCTGGTTGAGTGAAAAGCGTCCCGAGAGCTGGCGCGAAGCCTCGCGCGGAGGCGGGGCGCGACCCGGTCCCTTCCCCTAGGGGGCGGCTGCGGCCCTCCTCCCTTCCAGACAACTGAGAGTCCCGACTCCTCCCTGCAGGGGCGGGGCCGTTCCTCAGAAGGGGCGGGGTCTCTGCCTCACCGCTCCCGGCGCTCGTTGCGCAAGTTGCGCTCAGCCGCGGCGCTGGCCTTGCGCTGCACAAGCCTCTCCAGCAGGTCGCGCGCCTCCTCCTGGAGCCTGCGCAGTGCCGCCTCCTGGAGCCCGGCGTGCGCGCGCAGCGCCTCATAAGCTTGCCGCTGCGCGGCGTTCTGTACCCGCTGATCCTCCACTTGCCAGGCCTGCTGCACCCGCGCCTCTCTCAGCTGCACCACGCGGGCCTCTAGGGCCGCCAGCCTGAAGGATGGAGAGAGTGGATGGCGGGTCCCTAGACTCCCCCGTCACTGCCTAGTGGGAACCTGCCTTGGGGCCAAGACAGACCTGCCCCTGCCACGGGGCCAGCCGGGTGGCTAAGCCAGGTGTCCCCCAAGCCTTCGCCCTCAGAGCCCTGCCGTTCGCTTCTCTGGCACCAACTGATGGGCTCAGGGGGCGTTCGGGAGGACATGGGGAAAGCTCTTGGCTGGTGCCATTCCCCTGCCTTTGTCGTAGTTGGCCCCGGGCCTCCCTGTCAGTCCCACCCGCGCCCGCGCCTCACCTGCTTCGCCGCTCCTGCAGCTCCGACTCCAGGGTGCCCAGGGCCGCGCTCTTCTCCACCACCTGGTAGGCCATCTGGGGGCAGACAGGTGGGCACCGCGGCGCTGAGGCCTCTCCAGGCCTCCAGTCCTTCCCAGGCCAAAGGCGCTAAGGGACAGTCGGCTGCTCCCCTGCCCGCCCCCTTCCTAAAAAGAAAGCTGAGCCCCACACAGGTTTGGGACCTTGCACAGGGATAGGCTGCTATATGTGGAGCAGTGGAAGGGCCTCGTGCTCTGGATTCAGCCCTGGGTCTCAATCCTCGCCGGGCCGCTTCGTTTCTCTGCTATCCTACTAGGAACCTCTCTGGCAAGAGCAACCCCCTCCACTGCCCCGCCTGAAGAGTGAGAAGCCAGCGCTCCGCTCCCAGCGCCATGCAGAATCAGGACTCCCAGTGCAGCCGCTGGCAAATGCCCATCCGGCGCTCGGGCGCCATGATGCTCCCAGCACGCCACATACTTCTTCCCTCCTCACCACACCAAGAGCCTGGCACTACCACTCTCCCTTCGCAGACTAGGGCAACGACAGAGAGTTTTAAGTGCCTTGCCCAAAGTCAGGTAGCTAAGAGATTTGAGCCCAAGCCACCTAACTGCATCAGCCTCCAGGCAAAGCACTGGTCAGGCGATGTGAGTTCTGTTCTCCACTCCTCCCAGTTGCTTCCTGGCCTCGTCCAACCCAGGCCTGCCCAAGCACAGGTCTCAGCAGCGAGAAGCCCTTCGCAGAGCAAATAACACTAAGATCAGGCATGAACTTGGGGAGCCAGGGTCCAGACTCAATACAGAAGCAGCCTGGCAGCCCAGGACCTCTCCTCTCAATACGGGAGCAGCCTGGCAGCCCAGGGCCATTTCATCTGCACCCCTGCCTCATTGACATGCCTTCAACCCAGAGCCAAGCAGGGTTGATGGGAGAGACAGACCCCAGGCAAGGCAGCTCCGACCAGGGTGGCAAGAGAACATGAGGGCCAGAGGCGCCTCTGGTACAGACCGCCTTGTTGCTAATCTTCCTGTGTTCTTCTCATGTGGGCCTGGTGAGGACAGACTGAGGAGCAAGGTTGGTGCTGGCACCTGCACTGACATGACACCCTATGTGAGTGAATCTGTGGAGAGGGAACCTGCACATGCGGGGTGGGGCACCTTTATTCATAGTTGGCCCCATTTATAACATAATTCTTTTCACCACTGAGCAATCTGATAAACACCTCCACTTTTTCACCTGTCACTTGCTTTCAATTATGTTGTGTTACACTATTCAAGTTTATTGTATACCTTTTTTTTTTTTTTTTTTTTTAGACGGAGTTTCGCTCTTGTTACCCAGGCTGGAGTGCAATGGTTTGATATCAACTCACTGCGACCTCCGCCTCCCAGGTTCATGTGATTCTCCTGCCTCAGCATCCTGAGTAGCTGGGATTACAGGCACACACCACTCCTGGCTAATTTTTTGTATTTTTAGTAGAGATGGGGTTCCACTATGTTTGCCAGGCTGGTCTTGAACTCCTGACCTTGTGATCCACCCATCTCAGCCTCCCAAAGTGCTGCGATTACAGGCGTGAGCCACTGCACCCAGCCCGTTTTTTTTTTCTTAATGGATGAGAGGTTTCTATGTTGCCCAGGCTGGCCTCAAACGCCTAGCCTCCTCATGCTCCAGGACAACAGAACTGAGCCACCATGGCTCCCTGTATGCCTTTCAAAATTCAAGTAGTAGAGGTGGAAAACAGCTTAGTAGTTGCCAGGGGTCACTGGGGGAGAGAAGGGTGAATGTGACTAAAAAAGGGTGGCAAGAAAGAGATCTTTGTAGTGGTGAAATAGTGCCATATCTTGACAGTTACACAAATCTACATGTGATAAAATGACAAAGGACATATACACACTTTATACCAATCCCAGTTTCCTGGTTGTGGGTTCTATAGTTATGTAAAATGTAGCCAGTGGGAGACGCTGGGGGAAGGGGACATAGGAACTCTCTGGACTATCCTTGCAACTTCCTGTGAATCTATAATTATTTTAAAATAAAAAGTTGGCCAGGTACAGTAGCTCATACCTGTAATCCCAGCACTTTGGGAGGCGTAGTTGGGCGGATCATGACATGAGGAGTTCAAGAGCAGCTTGACCAACATGGTGAAACCCTATCTCAACTAAAAATACAAAAATTAGCCAGGCATGATGGTGCACACCTGTAATCCTCAGCTACTCCAGGATGTTGAGGCAGGAGAATCACTTGAACCCAGAAGGTGGAGGTTGCAGTAAGCTACAATCATGCCACTGGCACTCTAGCCTGGCAACAGAGCAAGACTCCATCTCAAAAATAAATAAATAAATAAAGTTAAAGTAATAATAATAAATGCTTGTGATATGTGGGACTACTAAAGAAAATTCTTTAAAAGAAAAGAAAAAGCTTTCCCACTGCCCCCATCCACTGGCCCTAACTGGCTGGTATGTGTCCAGGGAAGGAGTGCTGGGGTGCAGGAAAGTATCTCAGGCAAAGGGAGCCATGAGCTCAGAGATGAGGGTGGCAGGAGAAGCAACAATAGGCTGGAGACCTGGATAGGATAGCTTCCAGGCTAGGAGCTTTGAAAGATCTACAGCACACTGACCATAGGGAGAGATGGTAAAACAGGCTTTTAATTTTTACTCTATGGGCTTCTATTCTCTTTGAGTTGTTTAGAAGCATGTTTTGTGTATTGTTTGTCTTTAATGGAGATCATTTTTTTAATTAAAATATGTCACTGTGAAAGCTGTATGGAGAAGGGACAGGGAGTGCTGAAGGAGTGTTTCAGGGTAGGATGAAGGTTACTTGTACCAGGTCAGATACGGTACATGAAACAGAGGGACACTGATGGATTTGGAGGTAGAGTCAACATGAGCTTGTGACCAGCTCAGGATGGAGAGCTAGGAGGAGTCGAGGTGTCCCTGGGTTTCCAGCATGTAAGAGAACCACTGGGGGGCAGTCACAGGAATGGCCTACCGCATTAATCGCTTAGTCTACAAATAGTCATTAGTATGGACTGTGGACACAGGCCCTAAGGATGTAGGTTTGCCTTGAAGGCAAACCAAGACATCTCAGGGCTTGGGGAGCTCACAGCCCAGAAGGCAGGGCGAGGGGACTCAGATGTTTTGAGAATCCTCTCAAACAAATATCAAATTGGACCTACAACAGCAGCTCTAGGGAGAGGTTCTCAAATGAATCCATACCTATGCCCACACTTCTGTTGGGCAGGTGAATTGCCATGCTGTGATTGGATGTGTATTTACTGAGCTTTCACAGTCTCCTTCAGAGGACTGGAAGCCCCATGGGGCCAGGTCTTGTTTACTGCTGCATTTCCTGTTCCTTTGATATAGCAATGGTCAACAGTTGTTGAGAGAATGGAGAGCAGAGAAGGTGATTTGTGTGGGAGGGGCTCAAATCCTGGCTCTACCTCTCCAAGCTTCAGTTTCCTCCTCTGCAACCATAAAGTTGTGAAGGGTTAACTGAGGCAATGCTTAGCAGGGAGTCAACTCTGGAAATGGTGTGGGCCATATTATGGGGGAGATGGTGAGTCTGATTTTAGATGTGATGTCCAAAAAGCAGCTGAGCAAGACACTCAGGAGGTCAGAAAAGAAGGCTGGGCTAGAGACAGACCTGAGAGTCCACAGACAAGGAGAAAATCCCTGAGGCCATGGGAGTCAGTGAGGCCCAAGGACACCCATATTTATAGGGAGGAGGGAGAGAAGCCAGCGAAGGAAGTTCAGAGCCAACAGCCACAGAAATGAAAGGGAAACCAAGAGAGCATGGTGAAAGGGAAGCCAAGAGACACAGTTGCAAGGGGGCAGGGAAGGTGGTAGTGTCAGGTGGAGGGTCTGCACCCTGCCAATGGGCTAAATGAACCTTACTCCTGTAGTCTGCAAATGCACATTGAGCATCAGCTGGAGCTAGGCTTTGAGGATGGCTGGGCACGGGGTGAGCCATGCAGAAGTGAGCAGAGCAGGCTAAACCATGTGGAAGGAAAAATGGGCTGCCAGGCCCCTGCACACCTAAGTCCCTCCAGCTGCTGTTGGAGCCCACTTCATCCTGTGCTGCCTGGGGCACTCTGACCCCTGCCTAGTTCCAGTCAGGGCCTGGCACACACTGGGGATCACTCAATTCTTGCAGCACTGCACTTAGAGAATGCGACAAACACAGGAGTGTCCCTCACTGACTGGCTCCCTTCAACCACATCTCTCCACCCCATTTTCAAACCCCTACCCAACTTACCTCACCACAGACCAGCCGGAGCCCCTCCTCCTCCTCCTGCCACTTCACCTTCAGAGTAGCCAGTGATTGGACTTGGTCTGAGTCAGGCCCTGGCTCCTCCCTGCCAACCAATCAGAGTGGTGCTCAGTGTCCCCTGATTCACCCAAGTGCCCAAAGGCACCCAAGGGATGCTACATGAAAAGACTAAAACAAGAGCCATTAACTTCCCCCTGGGAAAATGGAAGCCACCAAGCTAGTGAAGGAAAAGGCAAGTCTAGAAATGGGCTGTCCATGACTCCTCTGCTCCAAGATTCTCCGAGGCCTTGGCCAAGGACCCTTCTCCATAAGCACCTCTCAACTCTGAGCCCCAACCCATTCCTGGTTCTCATCTTTACTCCCTCTTTGGAATAGGTAGCAAGACCCGTTCTTTAGGCTGAATCAGGTAAGGACCAGGGAAAATTGAAAAAGACTGAGAAGGGTAAAAGAGTATAGGGGTGGGAGGAGAAGGGATAAGACAAATGCAGAGAGATGGACAAAGAAAGGTGTAAGGGGAAAGCGATTCTAAGCAGCTGGTCTGTGGGAAGGCCAAGGGCCTGCCTCTCCCAACCCCCACCACCCCTGGGCAGCAGCCAGGGGCTGATGAGGCACTAGAGAGAAAATGAACCCAGCACAGGCGGCGGGGGCAGGGCCCCAGCACAGGCAGCCCTTTGTGACCACGAACACATACACACACTCACCAAGGGCCCTGGTGGGTGGCGGGAGTGACACTGTTTGGCTCCGGCTGCAGCTTCTTTGAGAACTTGTCCAGCAGCTCAGCCTTCTCTAAGAGATGGTTATCTGGGGGGTGCAAGAGGATGAGCCTGGGGCAGAGACAGATACCTAGCAGCCTCCTGGCATGAGAGTTCCCTCAGGCCGGGAGGGCTGCAGGAGCCCAGAGATGCTAGCGATGGGGAAGCTTCTGTCAGGCTGGCTTCTGCCCTCTGCCTGAGGGGCATCTGTGCAGCTCTACAGGACCTTCAGCCCTAGCAGTGTCCTCATAGCACGGGTCCCCAGGCCCACCCGGAACAGGACCTGGTCTCCCAGGGACAGAAGGATGATCACTGCGGGGTACTGCCCACTGAGGGTCTTTAGGGAAGGAAAGGGCATGGGGTTGATTCATTCCTGCCTCAGAGCAAGGCTTAGTCCCAGAAAGTGATGAAACAGAACTCTACCTGTCAATGGCCTTTGGCAAGTCACTTCTCCTCCATGGGCTCTAGCTCTCCCTACTTAAAAATAATCAACTTCCCCAGGGCTGGTGTAAGGTACCCCCAGGCCAGAATAGAAAGTCCTTGAGCAATTATCCAGCAGACCTTCTGGACATTTGACCCTGGAACACACCCACTCCCCCAACCACAGTCACTTCCTCTTTTCTTACCAGTTCCAGGGGAGGGTGGGGTGGTAAGCCCAGGCCTAGCTCCCTTCTCATCAACTTCCTTCCCACACCCAGTGCCCTGTCACCTTGACTGAGGCTCCTGGGCCTGGCCTAGTTCTCACACAAACCCCAGGGCACTGCACCCCCCAGCAAACCTAAAGGTCTCCATACCCAATTAACAGGTAAGAAGACTGAGGCTTAGGGATGTGACCTGCCCAAGACCTCAAGACAGTCCCTTCAGTCTGATTTCAGCCCTCCAGGTCTCTTCAGTCCCTCAGACTCACAGCTACTTGAGGGCTGGGGGGGTGGCGACCCCTCCCTCAAACTGGACGGTTCCACTGTCCATCTGAGCAGTGGGAAAATGTGGCTGCTGGAGGTGGGGGCTGGCCTCGCAACCATGAAGGTAGAGGCAGCAGCCTGGAAGCTTGAGAGAAGTTTACTGGATAAGAGCAGATTCGGGTTGGCCAAGTTTAGTTCCAGTGAGTGAGCCGCTGGGTTTGTGGTTAGACTTCCAACTCCAGACATACAATCTCAGGTGACCAGAGGCGCAACACCCAGGCACACCTGTTCAACCCGTCTTGAACTTCCACACCCCATCCTGACCAGCTGCCCAGAAACAATTCTGTGAGAGTCCGACTTGCCTGGGCTCCGCCAGCATCCGCCCGCAGCTCGCCCCTCCATGTCCCCTCAGGCTGGGTAGGCTGATGGGGAGGTGCTCCATAAGCCTGCGCCAGCGTCGCTGTGGGCGGCAGAGCCTCAGATGCACAGCCTCCTCCTTAGAGGTTCTGAGTGTCACCCCTCTCCGGATCGGCCAATAAGTGGCGGCTCTGGACAAGTCCCGCGTTCTTTCACTGCGCTACCCGGACCAAGTGCACTGATCAAGCCCCTATCTCGGGGACCGCCCGGGAGGGGAGGCACAAGAGACTCTGCAAAACCAACACCTTGGGAGGCACTAGCGCCTAGGAAGCTCAGCTCGTGGGAGGCAGGGCCCCGTCCTGAGGGACAACGAGGGCAGAGGGGCTAGGAGGGGTTTGTCCGGGTCCTAAGCAGAGCCTGGATGGCAAGGGGCGGAGTCCTGGCAGTCAGATTGGGCGTAACGCACAGGCTCAAGCCACAAGGCACCGCGCACTCGGGTCACCGGCGGAGGAACCAGCCAAACCCTCTCCCCGCGTCCGGAGCCGCGTCCCCTCAGCGGCCATCCTATCAGCCCCGGGGCGCACTCACAGGCCGGCACCAGCTCCAGAAAGAGCTCCTTTTGCGTGCGGTCCCGAAGCCGCAGCTGCCGCACGATGTGGCGTTTCCAGCAGGCTGCGGGGGCGCCGGGGACCCCGGGCCCCGCCATGGCCGCGCTCTCCCGCCTCGCGGCGCGCTCCTCCCGCCCGGCACGGCGCCGGGTCGGGGCGGGACGTCGCGGGGACTCCGTGACGCCAGGGGGCGGGCGGCGGCGGGGAATCCCCGGCGCGTCCCAAGAGCGCTCTGGCTGGGAGGGCCGAAGGCCGACGCTGGGGGAGGCCGCCTCGGGGTCTGTACCGCCGGCGCCAGAATGTTCACCTAAGTAGGGGCTCCTGTGGCTTCGAGGGTCGTAAACCGGAGAGAGGTCGGAGCCTTCGGGACGACTTCCCCCACGCAGTGGCCCGTTCCGGAGGTGGGGCCTTCAAGGCCCGGGTCTCTTAACCCCGCCGCGCCCGGGCCGAGTCCAAGAGCCGCCGATGCCCCCCACGCCGCCGCAGGCCCGGCGGAGCGCCCTGCGGGACCTGAAGGCCCTGATCCCCCGGCTGTCTGCGGATACTGAGGACGCGCAGCAGCAGGACGGCGAGCTAAGGAAGCAGAGACGGGAAGGAGGAATCCCCGCTTTCCGAGGACGATGGCGTTCGAGTTGGGCCTGTGAGGGACTGAAATAGTTGACCAGAGAGAGAGAGAGAGAGAGACTCTAGGCCTCCAGAGGAGCACGCGCACAGGCTCCGTGGCACAAAAACGCGGTGGGTGCGGGGCTGAGAGGACAAGAGGCAAAAAGGTTTAGGGCTCTACATGGTCGCTGAAATTTTAGGTCCCTGAGAGTAAAGGGATGCAGCTGGTTTCATCTGAAAAGCCCCTGGCCCGGAAGAGAGAAGGGGCTTGCTTGCCTGGGGTTGCAAGGCAGTGTGGGTGGCTGAGACAGCCAGCACCCCAGTGACCTGACTCAGCGCCCCACGCTTCATCCCATTGGGCAGCCTCTGGTGGAGCAGACGGATCTCTTGTGGGTACCCTTGAAAGTGAATCATGGGTCGCAGGGATCTATGGTCAAACTGTCTCTAGCTATGTGGCTACCCCCAGCTCTGCAGGCCCAGCCTCCTGGGAGACAGGAAAGGAGGGACTCGCTGGGCACAGCCTTGCCCTGGGGCATGCCAGGAGGCCCTGCCCTCTGAGTGCTGGCAAATCTGGCCATCGCTAGGAAACGAGAGAAATCGGGCAACGCTGGGAGAGCAGTGCAGGCCCTGGAGGTGATGAGTCTGTTGAGATTCTGATGGGGACGGGTCAGAGGATTTAGAAAGCAACGAAGGCCCAGACACCCCAGGACGTAGCCTGCTTTGCTTCCACAGTGAGCTGGGCTCAGTCCCCCACATGTCATTGTCTTAGATACCCATGGCCTTTGTACAGGTGGAGCCTGATGTTTGGAACACTATCCTAGGGAGCCTGGCTTCCAACCATGCATCACATCCTCCAGGAGTACTTTCCTACCCCTACACTGAGTTCAAGCTTCTCAGACACCAGCCCCAGCTGGGTTCAAGTTACAACTATCACCAGTTATCACACCATCCTGTGATCTGTGGGACAGGACCTGGGTCCCGGGTGTCTCTGCACCTCTAGCCCCAGCCCAGGCCTGACCTGTCTGTTGAAGGAGTATTTCTGTGTTAGATGGGTGGTAACATTCCACAAAAGGCACGCCCAGGAGACAGGCACGGTACCCATGGAGACCCAGGGCCAGTTGGTGGCAGTGATGAATTCCCTTTAGAATTGGCTCTTGGGTGCTTGGAGACACTATATAAATAAGGAACTCTGGTTGTGTGCATTGGAGAGCATATTAACAGGGCTGGACTTGGCTGTGAGGTGCAGAGATGCTGTTTCTCTCAGGTAAGGAGTCATATTGGGCAGGGTTTTCTAATCCTTTTTTGACTCACAGACTACACCTAGGAAATGTTGAATAGTTAGTCATTTTTGGATAGTATATGATAAAAAAGTGATTGATTTTCACTAAAAATATTCATGTTCTATTTTTAGAATATGAAAGCGTATTATAAAGGTCAGTTCAAATAAAATTTTAGCTAACATTCATAATATATGGAGACAAATTTTTGCTTTTTACATTTAACTTGCTGTTTAATGTGTCTCAAATAATTATGTAAAAGAAATATGATTTGACCAATAAATGTAAAAGGTTGCCCAGCTCATTTTAAATTTTTCTGTAGAGAAAGGGCCTCACTATGTTGCCCAGGCTGGTCTCGAACTTCTGGGCTCAAGCCATCCTCCTGCCTTGGCCTCCCAAGTGCTAGTATTACAGGCATGAGCCACTGCACCTGCCCCTAAAGTACTTTAAAATATAGTTTTAAACTTGCATTTGGGTTAGGCATCTCCCAGAAGCTAGGGTGATTGTTAAAAAAAATCAGGCCAGGCGCAGTGGCTCACACCTGTAATTCCAGCACTTTGGCAGGCCACAGCAGGTGGATCACCTGAGGTTGGGAGTTCAAGACCAGCCTGACCAACATGGAGAAATGTTGAGATTCACTCAGGGTGGCTGGCAAAATATTAAAGGAAATATTAAAGAAAAGTTGTAAGATACAATCTAACGTTTTGGAAGGCCAAAAGGTTTTTATTAACTTATGGAACAAGCTGAAAGCAGCCAGTTCTTACATTACAGCATTAAATCATAAGGTGAATATTAAGGATAATAAAAGCTTCCCCAGTTAAGTCTGTTTACCCCACATCTCTTTGTTTCTACTCTGTTTACTTATGTAAACTTTATGCTGGATGGTCCTCTCGGGGGAGGTCGAAAAGGAATTACCTGTTAATAGTGTTTACTCTAGGCCCCAGCACCAAAAGCTTTTATCATTCATAAAACCACTCTTTTAACCATGATAATTATCTACAAGCATGTTGACTTAGAATCTCTGTTATTAAATCTATAGTGAAGAAGTGTGAGGAGGAACAAGGAGCAGTAGTCACTTAGCTGCAGTTGCCCTTTGAGAGCAGCTGAGGACAATCCCTAGCCCACTCGATTCACTGTATCTAGTGTGTGTATGTACATTTATTCATCCATTGCTTAGTCAAAGTCTGTAGGACAGACCTCCACAGGTGGTGATCAGTGTCTCAGAGAAACCCCATCTCTACTAAAACTACAAAAATTAGCTGAGCATAGTGGCACATGCCTGTAATCCCACCCACTTGGGAG